TCGTCCCAGCTTGGGACTCTTCAGTGGTACACACACATGCCCTCACTGCCAAGGATCGAACCCAGGACCTTAAGGTTACGAGACGAGCCCATTGGCCATTCAGCCAATCTTGCGACTTTTAGCGCCAGCGCCAACCAATGTAATTGGCGAGTATTTTTCCTTGTACCCAAGCTAGAGGACCATTCTGATAACGACTTTTCCCTAGAACTCCAGGCAAACTTCGTCTTGTAGCCAATCGTCAATAGTGAGCATTCGATTGATTTTCAAGTGTTATTTAACAGGGATTTGATTGTTTTCAAGTGTGATCACGGATTAATATCAGTTAGAGAATCACTGAAAACCATCAAAAAGTATAGAACAACTTTTTAGTTCTTTTCTGGGACTCTTCATTAGTACATACCCATGACCTTACTGGAGATGGAATTACTATATTGACTTACAACGATGTATACACAACTTCATACTACTGTTTTGGTTAAATACATCAGATTGGTATTTTATTGGATAACCAAAGAAGTGAGTGCGTACATTCACTCCTCCCCTTACCAACTCTGTTATACAGTCCTAATACGGAAAGTTACTTTTTGCCACAATCGTCATCTTTTTCTTCTTTCTCCAATATTTCAAGCGGTAACATACAAACAAATGTAATAGTATGTGTAGTTTAATAATAAAAAAAACATATCCACTCCTTTTCTTTGATGTTGTGTTTTTTCTTTCTTATGCAGGAGTAATATATGAGCGTATGTGCGCTGTCGTCCTACTTCTTTTAAGTTACACATGGCATGTATGTACATATATCTACTTTGTCGCATAGTTGCATACTGTGTAGGTTGTCTGAAGAGGAAAAAACGAAGAAAAAAAATAGAATACGCATACTTATTCATACACAAGAAGCAATAATAATATCATTGTTATTATGTTATGATGTAAGAAAAAGTAATATATATTCCGTCACATTGCCCCCGCACCCGCCCTCACCTACATTTCTCCTCCCTCCCCACTGCACCTTCAACCTCACTATCACAGTTGTGATTGTGTTGTTTTTTTTCTTCTCTCTCTCATTCAACTGTCTACATTTCCTTTTTTCTTCTGAATGTTTCAAAAATAATGAAATAACGGAAATTACACAACACTGATAAAGACTAATAGTATAGCGTAGTACTAAACACAACCCATCAGCTCTGTGTAACAATACAGTAAAGGAGAGGAATGTAGGCACAGAAAGAGACTGGCAAAAAAAGAAGAAGAATAAAGGATTAAGTGTAGGATTCATATGATTTATTCAATATTTGGTCCCGCCTCTATCCTTCGATAGACAAACTTTGTTTGTATGATCTCTGTTGATATTCCCTTTATATTATTATTATTATTATCATTTTGGAGCATAATGTCCAATCTACAATGACGATAGGGGATCAAAGGAAAAAGGGAAGTAGAATATAAAAGAGCAATAACAATAATAACGATAATAATAATAATATGAATAGTAATCATTGTATAATTTTATTATTTAACCTTACGGTTGACTGGATTAACATGCGTTAAGCCATTTTCTCTCCCTGCTCGCTTTTCTTTGCCTCTTCTTTTCTTTCTTTTGACTTCTTTTTGAGCTTGTTTCCTTGCGCGCTTATTTTGTTTTTTACAAAAGAAAAGAGTTTATGCCTTTTTTAAAAAATGTTAATTTATTAAGTGGGATAATAAAGTTTCTGTAGGTATTTTTCTGTTATTCTCTCCCGGTCTCTCTATCTCTCTCTTAGGGAGTGTATCTTGCTTTAAATTAATTAAGTAAATGAGTATAGTTATAGGTATTTGTGAATTATTCAGTAATATATATCAATCGGATTAACAATGATAATATTAATAATCAAAGAAGTTAGAATTATGTTTAATGCTTAGAGAAGAATAGATATAACTGAATGATGATGATGATAATAATAATAGTAACAATTTAGATATTTTGTTAGAGTGATTTTATTCATTCGGTTGAACTTTCTTTTAGACATTGCCTTCTCAGACATTTGCTTAATCTTAGTCAAGATTTTATGATTTATTTCTCCTGTATACTTCTGCTTATTATAGTTTCTTCTTTTGAATTTCGTTTTTCTCTTTATCCTACCTTCATGTGCTATATTAGAGTGTGTCGACTTGAACCATTGCACTTCTATGAAAAGTTCTATGTCAGATTTCCTGATGAATGGACACCATTTGCGTCGTTGGCACAGCGATTAGGACTCTCGTCGACCATGCACATGGTCCGGGGTTCGATCCCCCGCCGACGCACACCTGATATCTATGGTCGGCCTGCAAAATTTGGGCTACCGATATCACATGCTGAAAATTCCATACTTGTACCAAAAATACGGTGTGGAATCAAGCTATAATCAAAAATAATAAAAAAATTTAGACAGCTGTTTTATTATCCTATTTTAGAACTCTTCAGTGCTTTTTTAATATTGAGTGATTGCATAGTAAATTTGCTTGCTACTCAATCTGGTAGTCTTGGTTTCAATAGCTGATGAAGTCATAAATGTGCAGTGGTAAGCATCCCACACTAGGATGTAACAACTCACAGTGAATCCTTCAATTTTATAATGAGTATAATTCATATTCCTCATTGATTGATTTATATTGAACTGAAATGGTCAGTCTCTTTTAACATGTTGGCGCATTACACGAACGCTCTGACGACGTCTCTAGGTTAAAATGATGTTATTTTGGCTGACGGTAGTTAGCAGTGAAACCTAGGATATGTATTTCGACCCATATAGGACTCTTCGTCTGTATGCTTGGTTTGTAAAACCGTGTATTCTAGCGGCATTTTGAACAAAATGAAAATAAGTTTAAACAAAATTAGTGGTGAACGAATTCCCATGAGCTTTCATTTCCTGCTCATATGACCTCCTCTATGGAACCCTCTGATGTCCAATTCATCATTTCCCATTCGGGTTCCACTAGAAGGCCTGTTGGCGCATGATGTCATTTAACAGTCTCCTCATCATATATCCAATGCATCTCCATTTCCTTTTGCATATTCACTGAGCGATAAATTCTTGGTTAGTTCGCTGCCATACTTCGTTGTGTTTTTTTATCCTTTTCAACTGGCCATCTGAGCTTTCGTATCGACTGAATGAGTAAAATGATATACAATAATAGTGAGATTTAAAAACTCTACAATTTATCTCCAGTTTGCACAAAATATTCACGTCCTGTTTCTTACTGCATTTCTCTTTTGCTTCTTCCTCTTCATCTGATGTTCTTTTCGAGTACTTTTCAGAAAACCTCAAGCAATATACTATTTACAATTTCTTGTCAGTAGCTTACGCTATAGCAGAAGTTAAATAACGGAGGAATCTCCCCTATAAAAACAAAATAAAATAAACAAAAAACAAATAAACTCATATTACATAGCTCTATTACCTGTTAGTCGGTTTGTACTGTTTTTCTTTTCTCTCTCACAAATATATTCAACTGGGATTATAAATTTAATTATGAACTGAACAGTTATCAACATCGAGTAGAATAGAATTTCCATTATATAAAAAAAGAGAATGAACGATTAAGGATTGAAAAATAATTTGTAGCTAACATTATCCAGCACGCTGATTGGCTGCTATTCATCATATATACTGGGCATAATTATGTGCAAAATTTCACTCATTCAAAGTTTTACAACAGTTTATATTTCACTCGTAAAATAACCTGCTCCCCGACCATGCACATGGTCCGGGGTTTGATCTTCGGCCGACGCACTCCTTTACCTCGCTAAGCCAGAAATAAAGCTGGTAAAGGGGAAAGGTTGGGCATGAGGCTAGCAATCTCATCCTGTAAAAATAAACACTGCTAAAGAAACTTCAAGCTGGAAGGTTGAAGCCCTATGTTCCACTAGGAACGTGAAGGAATAAAAAAAATAACCTGTTTATGATGAATAATATAATTATGGATTTTCAGGTGTTGAGTTTGTGGGAGGGGGAGGGGAGATTTGATTGATTTCAAGGCGGATTTTTTCATGAACGTAGCTACATCAGTCAAATCCACACAGACCTAACACATGTAAGTAAATATACTGCCTATTAGTGATAAGCAAAATGACAAACTTCGTGGAGTGATTGGTGACATCCATCATCAAATCGAGTAAGGTGGCAAATACTCATCAATGACGCTGGATAGGGTGACATTTTAATACGAACTAAGTCAGAATTCGTGGGCCAACGGATTCCCACTCAGTGGCTGAATATAATATACTCATCTAGTAACCTGAAAGTGTTAGGTTCTATCTCTGTTGGGTTAGTGAGGGGGTACTGCTGAAGACTATATATATATATATATATATATATATATATGTATATCAAAATATCTATTCCAATGCTCCCTGGTTCTGTCCTCATATCCTACTTGTTGAACCCCACTAATCACTACTTCTCATCAGAACTCTAGGAAGTCCATTTCGTAGTTACCCAACTAATAAGCAGTCGATGAATGACTTATTGAATGTGGGATTAATCCTTTGTTTTTCAGTGGTTTTCTAACTGATGTCAGGATTACTAATGAACCAAAATTTGGAATAGCCCAGCAGCATGTCTTGCACCTCTAAAATATTAGTAAAAAAGTAAATGACTAAACAGCTGTTACTTGACAACTTATTCACAATACTTCCCGAGTTTATTACTTTTCTTTCTTTACCAGGACATACATACAGCTAATTGCTACTTCGACTGACTGCATTTTGCTGTTTACTTGTGCAATACTATGGTTATTATTTTTTGCTGACTGTCATTATTAAATAACTGTTTACTACTTGTAGTCACATGTTTAAGACATGAGCACCTTTTATGTAGATAATTTCATTAAAATAAATTATTGATTTTCAATTTAAAAGTCACATGCTCTTCATGACACTTGCCTTATCCTTTAATCCGGAAAATGAAGAAACAGCGTACAGTCTGATCCATTTTCTCACTTCATTCTTCTTTTTTTTCCAATATATTTTTTTTATTCAGAATGGCGGACGTCCTGGCAGTTTACATGGTATTTCAATGATTGCACAAAGTCCTGTTCATAATGATGTGAATTTAATGTCAACTAATTCTGGTATTGATGTTCAGCATATACCTGGACCATATTGGAGTACACATAATCTACAAAATGATATAATTACACGATCAAACAATCTGTTATATCGATCACATAGTCATTCCAGTTTGTTGATAAACCAATCAAATAAATTGATGCGACAATCAATTGAAAATATGTCATCTACTTCATCATCCTCACCACCACCACCGCCGCCGCCGCCACCGAATTCATTGATTAATAATTATCATACGAATTCATTAAATGATGCAATGATCAATTATTCAACTGGTTGTTTAATAAATCCAGCATTGACAAATGTCATACCCTTGCAGCCACCACCTCCACCCCCACTGCCACCTTCAGTATCCTCATCTACATCGTCATCATCATCATTATCATTAACAGGAATCCCCTCAATGTGTACTTCATCCACACCATCTTGTATATCACTGTCATCAACATCAACATCGCCAACATCACTGCAAACATTTAATAATTTTATGATGAATACACCATCATCAAGCTTAATGATAACAAATGATACCTCATTATCGACAAATTTATCACGATGTAATAATTTATTAATGCCTTCAAACACTGTTACTACTAATAATATCAATACTAATACTACTAATTATACCCATAATAGTAATAATATTAATAATAATAGTGGTAATGGTACAAATACAAATCAATCAGATTTCTTAAATGAACGTTCAGCAGCAGCAGCAACAGCAGCAGCACCACCCCCACCCCCACCACCATTTCAACATTTAGTGAGAATATTTTAAATTGATTTTCCCCCACAAATAAAAGAAAGTTACGCAATACTCAGCTTTACTAGAGTTCACCGAATTGATGATTAAACACAACTGGCTGTATTCACTGATAGAAACTTACATATACGTATGGGGACTCACGTTTACACATACACGAGTACACTAGTATACGCTACTGTACTACATATAGTATATACACATATATATTTGAATGAATGCATTTAAACACTTGGTTATTAAACTGAATAACTTTAAAAATAAAGAAATAATAAAGAACTTCTTTGTTGTTAAGAGACATTTCAATTTATTGAATTTTATGAGTCTCTCTCTCTCTCTGCCTCTATATAAATACATAAAGTTATATGATTTAATTCTACTCGTCCTATGACAGACAGTATTGTTTCTTTATCTTTCTTTATTGTGTTTTTGTAAAAAAGAATATTACTCAGTTTAGTTGTTTGTTTGTTAATTCGTACGACAATTATCATGTGTACAAAGTATATTTAATAATGACAGTAATACTAATAATAATTATTATAATAAGGCAGTTTTATTGTATCATTTTGATTGGTGCAGACTAACACTGAAATCCACATTGCACGTTTGGTTCTACTATATAGGGACCTGTCGGATTGGTTTTACCGGTATCCTAGTGAGTGTCAGTGATCCCACTTAAGACTCGGCTTGAGCAGTCATCATTTCAAGTGCCGAAGTGTTCCCCACTAAACAACTGGGTGATGACAGCCACTTCTTATGTAACGGGTGCACTATCACTATGACTACTACTACTACTACTAATTTTCAAATATCAGTTGTTAGGGGTTTAATCAGTTTGATTAGATATTGATTTCAGTTAGATAACCACTGAAAACCATTAAAGGCCGTTTCTTCCTAGTTTGAGACTTTTCAGTAATAAGCATCCATGACTCCACAGGGTACTGAGTCAGATGTAGAAACAAATACTCTCTGTTGACATTAGCTTGCAATCGCATAAAACGTCGTGAACCGATAGAAGTTAGAATTCGCTGGCCATTGTATTCCCTCTCAGTGGCTGAGTGGCCAACCAGCTTGCCTTGTGAACTGAAGGTTCTTGGTTCTATCCCTGTGGGATCATGGTTATGTAGAGATGAAGAGTGTCGAAAGAGGATGAAACAGCTGTTCCGTACTCTTTGGTTTCCACTGGCTTTCTAGATGATATCAGTTCGTAATCAAACTTGAAATGATAATGGTAAAAACAGCTTTATTCTAGACAGTAAGTGAACACATAATACAAAATTCTCAGCGTATTCAAACTGCAAAAAAGTAAAATGGTAACCAATGGAATATTAAGTAACACCATGTTGTTTTATCTTACGCAAGACCCAGTGATTTACAACATTTTTCTTCCAAATCCTTGAGGAAGCGAGCACCACTACTTTGAAAGCTAATTAAAAATTTGCATTCTAGTCATTCTAGTGATCCAAAGACACAATCGGATGATTAAAACACCAATTAAATGGAGAAGAGTTGATGCATTACTTTGGGTGAAAATTCCCGTAGCCAAGTAACTTAAGCAAGCTGGAAGTGAATTTCTCACTGATTGGTTATACTGAACCAAAAGAATACTCAATTCGATGTGCCAAAAAAGAGGTTGAGCACTTCAATCCTGTATAATCAATCAACAGAGAATTCAATGCAAAAATTTCATTATAATTATAGTGTTTCTAAGACAGAATGTTTAGATGGGCCTATCACTTTACAGAATGAAAGGTAGAACTGACCAAGTAACTAAACATATCCTATATGGTACAGTAGAACTATATGACTGTTAAGACGTTTGATTTATTGATTATAGCTGGAATGCTTGGATTAATCGAAAGACTATAGCCATGCGAGAAAGAAGATGGAAACAATTTTTGTAGTTGGGATTTCTGTTGATAAGTGTTAGAATTCATGTGTCATTTAATTCCAATCCAAGGACTGAGTGTTCAATTGGCTGGCTTCACAATCTGAAGGTTGTGGATTCCACCTCTGCTGAAGTTAGCTAGCTACTGTTGATGTAACTATTTGATATCCGGTAGTAGATGTGAAGTGATTTTTGCTGGCGAGATTGAACTAATCATAGGATTTGGTTGTTTATTGGAGTGGTGAAAACGCAAGCGTAGATTAGACAATCACAACAAGGCACGAATGTATTATCCAAGGATAAGGAGAGTGTGCAAATGTCTAAAAAGTATAGACAAATAGATTACCCTATGAGAACATGAGGTAATGAATTATAGGTCTCCGGACGATACTTGTTGGGTTCACTCATGAATAATAAATCCAATAAAACCGATGACTTTCTCTGGGATTACGGGAATTCATTACTAATAAGTGTCAAATGGCACAGTATTGCTCCCGTGGTATATGTACTAAGTGTTGCTGAACCAAAAATTTCACTCTTTCAGATTTTCTACTGATTCCATCCAGGTATTTAACATAGTTTTATGTATCACTAAAGTTTATCGCACATTGCAACGATTTTAATGTACACATCTGAAAAGTTTTAGAAGTGTATAGTAGTGACAGCAGAACAAATGTGAAGTTGGTAAAAAAGTGGACCAAATGAATGTCTGTCTTTTGGTCGAATTGTGATGTATTTGCAATAACAGCTGTCTGTCGACGTCTTGGTCACACAATGAGACACGAAAGTGTACTGTTAACTATTCATACACTAAGAGGAATTAACTCTCCAGTATTCATATGTTCCACTCGGAACGCATAGAATACTACTACTGCTGTGGCCTGATGCAGATTGATAGGAAGCTGCCGAAATTGGAATCAACATTTTGATTCAATGACTGCAGAGGTTTATGTTATGGACATGAAATAAACGCATTGGACAACTTTTTTAACCATGGGCCAACTGCCAACCACTCAGAAAGACTTATTCTCTGACGTAGCCGAACTTCAGTTGGCTAAGAATGGATAAATATGTGTATTTTCTTGCTGTAGGTCCGTTACCACTTCTCTCCTGTCACACTACTATTGTGGCATGTACTACTGATAAGGACATTTTAGTAGTATAAAGTACATTGTTATAGGTAAAAGTCATGATGAGACGAATCACTTGAAGAAATTCAGACACGCGTATGTAGGAAATTGATCACTGATATAATAAGCATGAGACAGAAAGGAAAAAAAACCCGGAGACAAATACAGGGGAAACAGATTGCAAATAGAGAGTTTCTCTAAAGCTGTATCAATCGCTCTCCTGTTTATAACCTTTACTGAGGTCAGCACGTTGTGTACTACTTTGAGATACCTATTGGCAGGACACATACCTCTACTGCTGCTGCTACTCATAACTACAACTACGGATGCTACTAATACTACGGTGAATACTAACACTGTGAAGGTCATATCTGTAGTGGCCATTATTTCACTAAGACCTACACGTATACATTCATAGGTATGTAAATAGAAAATTTCATATTATTTCTTGAGATGAATTAACCAGTAAAATAAATATTCACTTATAAATTAAAAATTTGTGAATTCATTGTTCAATAAGTAGGCGTATTAGTATGCATTGAATGAAAGAGGCAATTGAAGAAACGAAAGCAAGAGGGAGAGGAAGAGAGAGATAGAGACAGAGAGTGAGTGATAGAAAGTAAGACAGTATTCATCATCCAGTACGACTATTTGTGAAAGGGATAGCAAAAGAGAAATAAATAAATGTTAAAAATGATTTCTGTTTCCACTTTTCTACAATTTTCTCTTACCCTTTTAAAAGGAATACATCAATAATGTAATGAAGATTGACACAGTCAATTCATCACTAAACTAAAGAGACGATGATTTAGTTTTAGTGGAATCAAAACAGGGAGAAAATCAAATACAAAAATTAGCGTACACTGCGAAGATATTTTTCTTAGAGTAGTTTTCATCTGGTTCACTAAAAACTGCAGATGTTCAAATAACTGCCTGCCGGTAACAGTAGACAAAGTTGTTTGATTCGAGACCATTTGTAATCCACTGAAATTTGAATTATCATCCTATCGTATTAATTATTATTATTATTATTGTTTCCTTTAGTTCCTAGAGGAACACAGGGCTTCAGCCAAACGTCTCCATTGCGTTCGGTTCTCTGCCACGTCTGCCCACATGCTTTCATCTCCTCTTCACATGACCTCCTCCATGTTACGCTCACACTGACGACAAACTCGCCAGTTCCCATTTGGGTTCCACTCGAGTGTTGGCCTGTCTTGTGATGTCACTTGATGCTTTGTTTTCTCTGAGTATGGCCAATCCACCTACATTTCTTCCTGCACATTTGTTGCACAATTGATTCCTGCTTGGTTGGTTCACTCCCAGAGGTGCCACGCTGTTGCTGATCTTTTCTGGCCGGCCACCTGACCTTGAGTAGTATTGAGCGAAGACAACTGTTGATGAAGGTCTGTAGTTTGTTAGAGGTGCTCTTTATGACGCGCTGGCCAAGTCTCTGATCCGTATAATAGCACTGACTTCACATTGGAGTTGAAAATCCGAATCTTGTTTTTCGTGCTGAGTGCTATTGATCACACAGCCTTGAGAGTAATGATAGCTTGCCTTGCTTCCCCGATGATCCTCGCTTTGATATCCTCGTCAGTTCCGTCCGCCTGTAGTTGAAACGATGCTTCCCAGGTGAGTAGGTAAAGGAGGTTGTTTCTTTCAGATTCCTCCCATTTATGCTGATTGTTGTCTGTTGTTGTTGCTGTTGGTGTTGGCCAGGAATCTTCATCACCTCTGTTTTCTTTATGTTCACCTGATGGTTCTTCTGCGAACTTGTTGATTTTCACTTGCATATCTTCCAGTTTGTGAGAAATCAGACATATATCATCGTCGAAGTCCAGATTCTCCAAGTTTCTGGTGAGGCTCCATTTTATGCCTGTTTCCTCGTTGCCCACTGTCTGTCTCATTATCCAGTCTACCACAATCAGGAAAATCATTGGCGATAGTAGGCAGCCAGCCAGCCTTGTCTTACTCCCGTCTTCACTTCGAAGGGTTCCGTGGGTATCCCGTTGTGGATTACTTGGCGTGCAGCATTGTCGTACAACTGTTGGATGAGATGTATAATTGTCAGCGGCACCCCGTAGTAGCGAAGTAGATTCCAAATCACCTCTCTATCGACGCTGTGCTGTCGAAGGCCTTTTCAAAGTCAATGAAGTTGATATAGAGGGGTGACTGACTGCCATTCCCAGCTCTGTTCAATGATGATCCGTAATGTGGCGATCTGATCAATGCATGACTTGTTTCTCCTGAATCCAGCCTGTTCCGGTCGAAGTTTTTCTTCCAGATTGGCGTGTTTGATTCTCTCCAGGACGATGCGACTTAGTATTTTGCATGGGATGGACAGGATCATAATGCCTTGCCAGTTCTTGCATTGACTTAGGTCTCCTTTCTTTGGTAGTTTGAATAAGTATCCTTTCTTCCAATCCTCGGGTACTTTGCCTTTTTTCCACACCTTCTCCAGTAGTGGGTCATCAAGTTCGCTGTTGTCTCTGGGTCCGTTTTCAATGCTTCTGCTGG